CCTCACATTATCGCTATTGCTATCTATGGTTCTTCTACTCTATGAGTTTGTTGCATAAGTAAGCCGCCACTTTTTGAAATGCACATGAATATTTGTGAATGGCTTGGAAGGGAAGCAACCTGCATATCAGAGACGAATGTCTTCTATTCAATGCCAACGCTCAAGCGGCCATGTCGATTTTTCCCCACAGAAGGAGCGGGTTGGAGGATGGAGGCATGTTGGGCTATCTTATAGGATCGGCTTTGCATTGCTAAACAACCACTGACTAGAATGAGCAACGAGGAACCCTAATAGGTTAGGTGCTAATCAGCAAACCTCGATTTCCCAGTTCAGCCTCCCTAGATCATAAGGTCACGATATACGACCGCGTGTTACTGTGAAGAGTGACGTCGCCCGCTGTCTCCTTAAAAATTTGGGCATTCGGTCTTTGGCGCTGGTGGCCTGAAATCTTGCCAAATTTGGGCTCTCAGCTTTTCCGCTGGACTACAAATATCTCAGCGATCATACCAAAGCACTTGCGCAGCAATTCCCAAAATTACTCTATGATGCTCGTAGGTTATCTAGAGGATTTTGGGATGGACGTAAGCACTAGCTATGGTTCTTCTTCTTCATTGGTCCAGTGCCTGCTCTTGGTAGAGCCATTGATCGAGATCCGCTAGTGATCCTAACGATGGGAACTATCATTAAGCGGCACGCTCTTCCGGAAAAATAAAAGGAAGGGAAAGGTTTTACAAAGGTGGAATCAGGGACTAGTTGGAGTAATGACTTTGCGCCGCACCGACGTACAAGTACTAGGTTCATGAACAACCACGAGTGAGTTTATAATGAAACAAAGTGTTGAAAAAATGCTGCGGATTACTTATGTAGCAATCCGAATAGATAGCTAGTTGAAGCTTTTTCTGAGTTCTCTCTTTGATTTTCTAAGGAATTTCTTCATTCAGATGACCTCAACCAAGTCCAGCTACCTACAGTACCATGTAAGTATGTCATTAAAATTGTTTTGATGTTGTGAAAGTGAACAAGTGTGAAAGCAGGATGGGGAATAAGTTAAGGGACTAGGACATCGGCGTTAACCAGGCTTCTTAGGTTGCGTTAAGCATTCGGCGTCTTCACCGAATCGTAGGAGCATGATAATTAAGCCTTAGGCGCATTTGTTGATCCTACAGTGTCTTTTCTTATTAAAGGCACGAGTCCCGATCCCAATATGGAATGGGAAAAAATTTTAATAAGAAAAATCCAATCCAATATGCTCCGTTTCGATCGCTTGGAAAGAAAGCGGAAACTTTTTCGCACAAACTGCAGTGTTAGCCATGAGGCTCAAATATGAAGGATAGGGGCAAATTG